CCCAGACTGCACCTGTTGCTGTCAGCTTCTGCCCTCCTCCCCCCACCCCTTCCAGCCACCCTACCCATCCGGCTCCCCCCAGAGGTCCAGGAACTCCCCAGAACCAGAAACTCCCCTCCTCTTTGCCCTTGAGGCCTAGCACCCAGGGGAGGTCCCTTCTCCCCACCAGACTGTGCAGTGGCAAGGAGGGGAGCCACGTGTCCCAACCCATGCAGGTGACCTCCCTGCTTTGCCACCAGGTGGTGTTCAATGTTCCCCGCCTGTGGGCGGCCGGGCAGGAGGAGGGCTGGTTCCGGCTGCAGCCTGACAAGATCAGGAGTCACCTGGACGAGTGAGTGCTAGCCTCCAGGCTGCAGGGCCAGTGCGGCCCAGCCCCAGGGTGGAAGCCCAGACTGGCTACCAGCAGGGCTGGCCAGGGACCGAGGAACACAGCTCTGGGTTGCTTTCAGGCCAGGATTCTACTCCATCCCGAGCTGGACCCCACGGCCCTGTCCTTCAAGGCAGTCCGTGTCTCCATATTTCTACCTTCAGGCAGTTTTGGGAACAATCCCTCAGGCCCTTTCCCTTGGCAGCATTTATAGACACCCCAAGGTTCTAGGGCTGGCATCCCTGAGCTTCAGCTCCTCCAGAAACTGCCAGGCCCAACCAGGACACCTGCCCAGTTCCAGCTAAAGTCCCAGAAGCCTCCACTGCGTGTCCTCCGTGTGTGCAAGCTGAGACTGCCCGAAGTCTGCCATTGGACGGGGGATCTTGTACTTCCCTTTTTCTAAATCTGTCAACCCCGTCCAGGAGTCCAGGAAGGCCCCTTGGCCTTACCTGCCTCCCCACTCCCACCGCCCTCAGCCCTGGGGAGGGAGGCTGTAGGCAGGAGGCAGGGCAGGGGCAGGCCAGGTTCCCAGTGGAAAGATCATGGGCTGCCCATTCCAGGGGCAACCTGGGCTCCTTGCAGCTGGAGGTGTGGCTGCGGGATGAAACTGTGCTGCCCTCCGGCTGCTACCAGCCCCTGGTGCAGCTGCTGTGCCGGGAGGTGAAGCCACTCACTCAGGTGAGGGGTCCTTGGAGGGAGGTCAGAGGGTGCTCCCTGTCCTCCTAAGCCCCCTCCACAGAATGAGAAAACAAGGTTGGCCAGTGTGACTCCTGCCTCGCCCTGCCCTCTCTGTCCCTTGGGAAAGAGCTGCCCGGCCCATGGTGCTCCAAGTCCCGCCTCGGCCCCCCAGCCCCGCCTGTTCCTGCTGCCCCCTGCAGGGCCCAGGGCAGCTGATCACACTTGTGGAAGAAACCACCAGCACTGCGTGCCGCCAGGAGGTGGCCACCAACCTGCTCAAGCTCTTCCTGGGCCAGGGGCTGGCTAAGGACTTCCTGGACCTGCTCTTCCAGCTGGAGCTGGGGCGCACCAGTGAGGCCAGGGCCCGGGCTGGGGGTGGGGACACCCAGAAAATCAGCTTAGGAGAAGAAAGGAGCGGGCAGAGGGAGGCAGGAGAAAGATGACCAGGACGGAGGTGGGACAGCACATGGGGCAGTGGCAAGGAGGCTCTTTCCCGAGAGACCAGCTTAGACGGCTTAGCTCCAAGACTCTCAGTCCTCCCAGAAGCCCCGTCCCTCTCCCACCTCCGGAACCTTTCCTCGCAGGCGAGGCCAACACCTTGTTCCGGAGCAACTCTCTGGCCTCAAAGTCCATGGAGTGTTTTCTGAAGGTGAGTTTACATGGAGACCGTCCTCGGCACATACGGGAGGGGACCGAGACAGGCCTTGGGCCCCAGCCCCCTGTTTCCACAGCCTGTGTCCCATAAGGGGAGCATTCTATTCCCCACATGTGTGGGGACCCCCCAGGCGGGGAGGGAACTCCTGGGAGACCAGATTCTGGGCTGGGGCTGGGAGAAGGGTCAGGTTGGCTCTCCTGGTCCCCAGGTGGCAGGGATGCAGTATCTGCACAATATTCTGGGCCCCATCGTTGATCGGGTGTTTGAGGAGAAGAAGTACGTGGAGATGGACCCCAGCAAAGTGGAGGTCAAGGATGTGGGGTGAGGCCTGGGGCCATTCCTAGGGAGCGGGGAGCTCAGGCCCAGCCCTCCGGGTGTTTATGGCTTTCTGCCTGGATTTACCCATCTGATTCTGCCACGTTTCCACTAGTGCCTTGTCTCCGTGCCACTGTGCCCCCCCAGCCCCACCCTGGTCTCCCCTGACGCTGGGTGCTAAGCACGGCCCTCTGTCCTCCTGGCCCGCCCCCCTACCCCGCGCAGGTGCTCCGGGCTGCACCGGCCACAGACCGAAGCCGAGGTGCTGGAGCAGAGCGCGCAGACGCTGCGCTCTCACCTGGGGGCGCTGCTGAGCGCGCTCTGTCGCTCGGTACGCGCCTGCCCCGCCGTGGTCCGCGCCACCTTCCGCCAGCTCTTTCGGCGCGTGCGCGAGCGCTTCCCCAGCGCCCAGCACGAGGTGTGTCCCCTGCGGGGCGGGAGGCGGGCGGGGGGGTGGGGAGAGAGACTGCGGTCCCAGCCCAGGGGTGAGGGTGGGATGCTGGAAGCCGAGGAGGTACAGGGCGGGGTCGTAGGGGAAGACGGGGACCTGGGGAGGGAGCCGCAGGAGCCCAGGCCCCCCAGGAGAGCACAGCGTGGCTGGCCCTTGTCACCCTTTCAGAACGTCCCTTTCATCGCCGTCACCAGCTTCCTGTGCCTGCGCTTCTTCTCTCCCGCCATCATGGCACCCAAGCTCTTCCACCTGCGGGAGCGGCACGCAGACGCCCGCACCAGCCGGACCCTGCTCCTGTTGGCCAAGGTGCGGGCCTCCAGACGGTGGCTGGCTGCCCGGCCTGTGCGGATCGCGTGGACCCGGCTAACCTCAGGCAGGCCTTGCGACAAGGCCAGTGGTGGCCTGCTCACGGCCCAGTTTCCAAAGATGGTTTCCGGTAGGCTCACCTGAGCCCAACCTCATAGATAAGGCAAATGCGGTCCGAGAAGGTGGTACACCAGGGGCTTGGAGCCCAGACATACCGGTCCCCTGTCCCTGTGGGTCAGTGCCGCGTAATAAGCCTGCAATGGAGGCTTCATTGGTTGAGCTCAAATGGTCTTAACTACCTTCGTGGCGCCGTGGGTTAAGCGTTGGGCCGCAAGCCACACCATTCACTATTGAGCGAGAAAGGAAGCTGTAGGCCCCCGTGAAGTCTGACAATCTCAGAACCCTGAAGGGTCGCCCTGAGTCGGAATTGATTGGATGAGAGTGGGTGGGTGGGTTGATAGGTAGGTAGGTTTGGAAGCCCGAACAACGTCAACGTGCTACTTCTGCCTCCATCGCCACAGCTGTGTGGCACAGCCTGTAGGGGTTGGCCCCTTACCCAAGGACGCTCCGTCCTTCCTGCCCCCAGGCGGTGCAGAACGTGGGCAACATGGACACACCAGTGTCCAGGGCCAAGGAAGCCTGGATGGAGCCCCTGCAGCCCACTGTGCGCCAGGGGGTGGCCCAGCTGAAAGACTTCATCGCCAAATTGGTGGACATCGAAGAAAAAGAAGGTGGGCGTGTCCCACCGATGAGCAGCCGCCTTTGGCCTCGCCCACAACCCACCTGTGATCCCTTGCTCCGCCCAAGGCCCCGCCCACCACTGCCTGTGCCTCTCGTGGCCCCTCCCATAGCCCCTTTTGCTCCGCCCACAGCGGGGGTACTGTCCTGTGCCTTTCGAGGCCCCGCCCACAACCTCGTGTTCCGGTCTGCTCCGGCCCCGCCCCTGCTCGCCTAGCTCACTTTTTGCCCTTCCTCCGGCCCAGCAGAGTTGGACCTGCAGCGGGCGCTGAGCTTGCAGGCCCCGCCTGTGAAAGAGGGACCGCTCTTCATCCACAGGACCAAGGGCAAGGGCCCCCTTGTGTCCTCCTCCTTCAAGAAGCTCCACTTCTCCCTCACCACCGAGGCCCTCAACTTCGCCAAGACGCCCAGCTCCAAGGTGGGTAAAGAGGAAGGCGCTTAACTCTCAGGAGCCCACCAGTCCCAACGTCCACGGGGCCCCAGAAGGAGCCAGGCTGGAACCTCGCTTCCCGTGACTGACCAGCTGTGCCCCTTCCAAAAGTCACTTTCCACTGGTGAGGCTGAAGGGCTTCTACACGCGAAGGGGTCAGTGGTCCAGCGGGCAGTGTGCGGCCCTGAGTCCCCTGGCCAGGTGCTGAAGGGCAGCAGAGATCGGGAAAACAAAGCGGGCCTGAGGGCAGTGTCTATGTCCCAGCCCCGGGCTCTTGGCCGGAGCGTTTGGAACAATAGTTGGGGATTCTACACCTGGTGAATGATATTGAAGACCCTTCACCCCCCTGGGCCTGCGTCTTCTGGGAGCTGAGTCTTCCCCCCCAGAAGGCTCCTGGAGTTCATGGCCCCCTTGATGGGTCTGGCCTGACCCCTAGTCAGCCAGGCCCAGGAGAGGGTCTGCCAAGGATGCCTGGCCCAGCCCAGCCCTGAGCAGGTAGAAGGAGCTGAGGAGAGATGAAGGAGCCCCTCACATCCTGTCCTGGAGGTGGGGGGGGGGGGGGGGACTCGCTGGCCCTTGAAGGATCCCACCAGCCGAGAGGGTCCAGCCTCTTCCCCACCAAAGACACCTCCAGTTAGTATTCTGTGCCACCCCCAGCGTTGCCACAAGACATGATTCTGTTCACCGTCAGCATGTGAGCCAGTCACATGGCCCGCCTGGCAGAGAGAGCTGGGGCCACAGCTGGGGCTTCCCACCCTGAGCAGGGTTCCCCTTGGTGGGCTCTGCCCCCATCAGGGGAAGCCCACACACAGTTCCTCACCCCACCCCACCCCCATCCCGGAGCTCTGCACTGCTGGAAAACTACCTGGAGTGTCTGCTGTGGGCCAGACACCTGTTCCCTCCAGGCACCTGTTCCCTCGAGCCAAGTCACTGCTCAACCAGGTCTCCAAAGCCTCTTGACGGAAAGTGGCAGGAGTGGGACGTGCATTTGCCTGGCTTCTGCAGCCCGGTTCTCTTGCGATGCCACTGTTTGACAGCGGGGAACCCAGGACTGGATGGTAACCTAGGGCTGGGCCACCTCTGACCCTCTAGACTTCAGGGCAGGGGTGGGGAGGAGGAGGAGGATGCTTGAGGCAGGAGCAAGCCAGGATCCAAACAGCAGCCTGACTGCTAGAGTGAGGAGAAAAGCAAAACAATGGGGGGTGGTTTCCTGGGAGTGGTGGGGGCATGGAATCATGGGCCCTAAGGACTGGCAGAGATCCCAAAGGTCATTCTGATCAGCCCTGCCTGGACCATGGATTTACCTCTCCAAGGAACACCCCCGCCCCCCTGCCCCAGAAGACACTGCTTGCTTGCTGCTGACCACGGGGGAGCTCACTACTGCACAAAGCCCCTCCTCTCTTGGCAGTTCATTTAGAAAGTTCTTTATCTTCGGTGGGAGTCTACTTGCTTGTAGCCTCCTTCTCTGTTCTCTGGTGCTCCACCCTATGCAGAAACCGAAGCCAGAAGTGTGTTTGCTTCTAGAACCCTGAGCCCCTGAGATTTTAGCCATTCTGTTGAGGACTTGACACGTCTTGACTCAGTCTCTTTCCCTCCTTCCTTACTTTCTCAGTCATGTTAACGTACGGTCACTGACCAGCTTAGACTCGGGCAGCCGGAACGGAGCACAGCTCTGTGGGTGTTAGCTGAACACCGAAGAATAGACAATCACCTCCTTGATTCTGGCTATGATAGCTTTATCAGTACTGCCTCTGCACAGCTGTAATTGGGGTGGGGGGGTTACATCTCACAGTAGATTCCCACGGATGACTCAAGTCATTTTTTTGTTGTAGTTCTTCTTTCAGAGTAAAGAAAAAAAAAAGAAAAAGTAAGCCCTTTATGCAGGAGGGAGAGTTAGTATTTATCATTTCCAATCTCCGTCGTAGGATCCCTGGTGATGCCATAGGGTGCAAGTTAGCCTGCTAACCTCAAGGTCGGCAGTTCAAACCCCCAACTGCTTCAGAAACCCAAGAGGGGCAGTTCTGCCCTGCCCTCTGGCGGGGGCGCTATGAGTCAGAGTCCACTCGGTGGCAGCGAGCTTTAACTTCATCGTGTTTAGTTCAGCCCCCGGCACCAGTTGGCTGGGACACTTTTCGGGTCCGACTCTGAGCATCAGCCTGGATCCCCATGGACAGCCCTAAGTGAGGGCCATGCTGGGAACCTGATCCCGAGGCTGACCAGGAAGGAGGGGGCGCCACGTGCCATTAAGACTCACCCGCCGTGGTGGCCCCACCTGCTCCTGGTTGTGATTTAGGTAAAAAGATGAAAGGTGCTTAGAGGGGACGGCCTGTGACAGCCCTCTGATCACAGCTCCTCCTGTAGCTGCCTCCTGGGCTTTACTGCCTGAGAGCCAGGCCCAGGACTCTGCTCCGGCAGTGGTGGGCAGAACGAGCCAGCTGCGCCCCGCCCCTCGGGAGACCACTGCTCAGCACTGTCAGCTCTGCACGCCTCGAAGGAGTGAGCACCTGACCCGGGCTCCCAATGCCTGAGAGACGGCTGCCCCGGCCCACTCCCCACTGGGTGCTCTCACACAGCCCCTGGCCCACGAGGGCATCTGCCCCTTTTGTCTGCTGGCAGCACCCCTCTCAGCCTACAGGGACACCTGCATGAAGGTGACCTTTTCTGTCCACTGAACTGGCCCCTAAGTCAGGGGTCCCCCTTCCCGGCGCTTCTGGCACTGTAATTCCCATGGTTTGGTTTGGTTTTCTGCGGCCTAGCCCAGCTCAGGCACTGGCCTGCCTGCCTGTTTGGCCCACCCTCACCCAGCCCTGGGCCGCCAAGGCCTTCTGTTCCTCCCCACCCCATGAAGCCCCTTAAGCAGTGCGGCCCCACCCCTTGCTCCCTTCCCACCACACCACTTTCTGCCTCCTCTCCATCAGACACACACACACACACACACACACACACACAGCAGCCCCAGTGTCTGCACTGTGCATCTCTTGGTGTCTGTCTGTATGCACGTGTTTGTGTATCTGTCTGTCTGCACCTGTGGGTCTCAGCCCCACACTGCCTCCAAGGCCTCCCACTGCTCAGCACCCGAGAGAGGGGCCTGCCCCTGCTGTGCTTGTCACCCAGGCCACCAGGTGTGACAAGCCCTGGGAGTATGGGCGGCCACCTGAGGGCAGCCATTCATTGACAGAGCTGGCAGGCATGCCCAGGAGGCAGGAGTAGGGTGGGGGGCAGGGGCCCTTCGGGATGTGGCTCTTGTAACATGGGCAGCTGCCCTTAGTCCTGTTTTGGATTTCACCAGGCTCTCTGAAAACCCAAACTCCCTGCGCTGCCCTCAAGTCAATGCCGACTGGCTCACAGCGAGCCTGTGGGTTTCTGAGACGGTAACTGTCTGTGAGAGTAGTAAGGTAGCCACCGACCTAGGGGACCGTAGCCCAACACTACACCACCTGGCCATCACACAGTACCTTATGTCGCCCTGGTGTGGCTGAGACCCTTAGAGGCTAGGAAGCTACTTACAATGAGCAGGGGAGAGTCACTTCCAGCCCCGGGGAATGCTGGGTGTCCAGATGCTGACCTCCCAGGACCAGGCATGTTCTCACCATCTCTCTGCCCTCTGTCTTGGTTGAGGTTGCTCCTGGCCAGGGGTGGGAGCAAGGGGTCCCCGTGAGTCCATACTGCAGACAGAGAGGCTCGGCCTCAGATGGGCCTCTGAGCAGCCACTCCTCTGCTGGCCCCAGAAAAGCGCCCTCCTCAAGCTGGCCAGCATCCGGGCGGCGGAGAAGGTGGAGGAGAAGAGCTTCGGCAGCTCGCACGTCATGCAGGTGATCTACACGGACGACGCCGGCCAGCTGCAGACCACCTACCTGCAGTGCAAGGTGCTGCTGCCGCAGCTGGGGGCTGCCAGGGGCGGGCATAAGGGTGTCCCACGCCCCGCAGCCACGAGTGCCTCAGCAGGATATGTCTGCCTGTCTGTCTATATCTCTGATACATATGTCTATGTGCCTCTGTGTGTGTGTATGTCTGTCTCTGTCTGCTGTCTATATGCCTGTGTGTCTGCCTATGTCTGTCTGTCTCTGTTTATATGTCTGTCTGTCTATGTCTATATGTCTGTGTGTCTGTCTATGTCTGTCTGTCTCTGTTTATATGTCTGTGTGTCTATGTCTATATGTCTGTGTGTCTGTCTATGTCTGTATGCTGTCTATATGTCTGTGTGTCTGTCTATGTCTGTGTGCCTCTGTGTGTGTGCGGCTATGTCTGTGTCTGTCTATCTGTCTGTGTGTCTCTGTGTATATGTTTCTATGTTTCTGTGTGTCTCTGTCTATGGCTCTGTGTGTATGCAGTAGGTGTCTCTGTCTCTACCTATGTGTATCTCTGGGTCTCTCTTATGTGTCTCTATCTCTGTGTGTCACTCTGGTTGTCTCTGTGCCTCTCTGTTTGTCAGGCTGTGTTTCTGGAGACCTTCGCCCAGGTCTGAGCACCTTCCTCCATCTTCCCCTTTCCCCTTTGGCAGGGCGTGAATGAGCTGAACTAGTGGCTGTGTGTGTGTGTGTGTGTGTGTAAAGGTCCTGGCTCAGGTCTGAGCACCGTCCCTGCCTCTCCCGCAGAGCGTGAACGAGCTGAACCAGTGGCTGTCTGCGCTGCGGAAAGTGAGCATCAACAACCCGGGCCTGCTGGGCTCCTACCATCCCGGCGTCTTCCGTGGGGACAAGTGGAGCTGCTGCCACCAGAAGAACAAGACAGGTGCGGCGCTGCCTGGCCTCTGCTGGTCTCAGGCCCCCACTGGGAGGTGGGGCGACCAGGCGTGCCTTGTTGCCCGGGCAGGGTGTCCGCTGCAGGAGAACCTGCAGAAAGCCGGTCCCCCAGATGGTGAGGGGCAGGATGCCGCAAAGTGGGTGATGCTCGGGCTGCCTCTGCCTCTGTGGAAGCTCACCCTTTCCAACCTCACCAGGCAGAAGGGCATCCTGCCCAGCAAGCTCCCTGTAGAAAGGTGCGTTGAGAAGCTCTGGGCGTGTCTGCTGGTCAGGGCTGACGAGAGCCCGACACGAAGCCTGGTGCGGGGCTGAGCTAGGGTGTCAGGGGCCCTGAGCTTGGGGTACCAGAGGGCTAGCAGCAGGGAGCTTTCTGTGTTTACAGAAACAGGCGGCCTCTGTGTCCGGGTGGTGCCCTGGTCACAAGCCACGGGTGGCTGTTGAGCTCATAAAATGTGGGCAGTAGAGCTGAGGAACGGACTGGGTTTTTAACCTTTTTAAAATGTTCATGTTTTCATTCTTTTAGCTTTAAGTAGCCTGTGGCTGGTGGCTATCCTATTGGACAACACTGTTCTGGAACCGTCCAGACGTGTCCCCTCCCCTTATCTTTACTACCTCCCCCCAGTCAGAGAGTAGACACAGTAGAGCTCCTGCTCCTCAGGCTGGGCTTGGTCTCAGCCACAAGGCCCCACAGGAGTGGCTGGAACCTGACCTAGCCGTCCTGAGCCAGCCTGGGATTCGCAGTTAAGCTGTGGGGTTGGGGTGCCAGCAAGTAACACCGGAGAAGGGGGTGGATCCTTCTTGGGCTAGAAAGCTCAGCCCTGCTATTGGTATTTTCCCACCACCCTACCAGGGTCCTGCAGGTGGCTCCTTACAGGGAACAGTGCAGATGGCAGCCTCTAGCTGTCACCACCATAGTGCTCTCATCATGGCACTGTGGGAAGGACCTGGAAAGGGGAAGGAACCAAGGCTTGGGGAGGATGACTTGGCCAAAGCCATAAGGCCAGTGTGTTCTAAGGTATAGACCCCCTCATGACCCACTCGACTAGAATCTGCCAGAGAGTTACGCAGATTCCCCCTAGGAACACCTTGCACAACTCCCACACGATGATCACGAATCTCAGATCCCATGGTTCAGAGGCAGAACCCAAGAGGAGCTGCTGCCATCCTGGGAGGCTTGGGGGAGCCCCAGGCTTGGGCCAGGTGTCCCCAGCTCTGTTCCCAAACCAGCCCTTCACTCAAGGGCCCAGGCCCACCTGTCTCACCCAGTAGACTTCCCTTGGCTCACCCCTACAACCGGGAAGTTGAACGTGAGCTTAGACAGTGTGTGGACCTCTTTCCTACCCTCCTTTGGGTAGGAAACTGTACTGTAACTCTGGTCTCTCTCTGCCCCTGCAGTTCTGGGTTGTGATAAAACCCGGTCACGGGTGACCCTGCAGGAGTGGAATGACCCTCTCGACCATGACCTGGAGGCCCAGCTCATCTACCAGCATCTGCTGGACGTGGAGGACACGCTTCGGTGAGGAGGGCTGCGCTGACCACACACGGAGGGGGATCTGTCCACTATGCCAGGGCTGGACAATTCTGGGACTCTTCTTACTCATCGGACCAGTGCCTTCCTCACTCTTGCTGCGCCACATTGAGGGAGGGGCACCCAGGTCCCTGCTGATGGACCAGGAAGGGCCCCCAGGGCTATGGGAACCCAGAGTCAGGGCCAGGCCTCCTCCAGGTTCCCAAAGTCAACTGCCTGCAGAGTGCACGATCTATTCCTCATCGACCCTTCCAGAGTTTACCTCCCTGTACCTCTAGACACCTCCAGAAGGTCTCTCCTTGCTCCTCTAAGCCCTCTAAGCGCCTGCTGTCAGGCCAGAACTGCCAGGCCACCCTGCCGCCACCTCCTCCTCTGGCTCCCTGGCACCCTCCCTGCCCAGCACACACCTCCTCCCCTGCCAGGTGACATCATCCTCCACGCAGGCGGTGCGTTCTCACCCCGTCCTCTCAGGACCCACCCGGACCCTCCCCGCTATGGCTACACCCTGCCCATCCTCTTCTCCCCAGTGTGCGAGCCTCCGAGTTTTAATCCACTTCACACGTGTGGGTGTGCACCGGGTCAGCTGGGACTTACTCCTGAGTGGCAGAGCTAAGATTTGAACTCGGCCCACCTGGCTCCAGGTGCCATGGCCCTGACCACTGTGCCCTGCTGCCTTGAGAGCCTCACTGCCTCCAGCACTGTGGCAGCTCCCCCTCTCCCCCTTCCTCCAGTGTGGGCCTCAAACACCAGCCTGTCCATGGCCCCCTGCTGTGTGAGCTTCCCACGGCTGCAGTAATGAGCGGGGATGCTGCAAAGGCACACCCTCGCCTCGCTTACCGACACAGTTAGGGCCCAGAGCCCCGGTGGTTCAACACGAAAATTGGCATTAAGTAAAAGTGGAGGATGACCAATCACATCAGCTCACCCAATGGAAGATGACACCCTCACGGCTTCACGGCCTCACTGCCAAAGCCCATCGTGCCCTAACTGCCGAGCCGCCACGAGGACCATGACCCAGCCAAGCCACGAACACCCTTGACCCTCACAGTCAGGGTTCCTCTCGCCCCGCCTCTCGGCGCGCGTTGTTAATGCACAAAATCACTGGGTATGGGTTCTTCCACTCGGGGGGTAAGGGGACATGTCAGAGGATGAGATGGCGGTGTGTGTGTGTGTGTGTGTGTATACACATTCTGGAGGTGAGCAACCTGATCTTATCTCGACAGGATGAGATGGCGGGGTGTGTGTGTGTGTGTGTGTGTGTGTACACATTCTGGAGGTGAGCAACCTGA